TTTTCCACTATTGGCTATTAAGCTTTTCTCAGAAAGTGGAATAAAAATATGTCAACACATTTGGAACAAGAATCTCAACACAACAACAAACAGCAACCAAAAAGATAATATGGCACTCTGGGGAGAAGAACAGCAGACAGTCACTGCAGTGTTTTCTTTCAAAAATAATTTCTCAGAGGCATTTTAGAATGCCAGACAATACTATTGAAGTATTGAGCTGCGCATACTGTACAGAGAGTACATCGCTGAAACCCATAAACTGACCCTCCAAATATAACTCATAATGCCTTTAGGTGAAGTTGGACAGGTTGAACAGGGAAATACTGAATTTAGGCTCCGTGTTTTTAGGGGCTATGTATCAGGAGAGTGGGATGGTCTTCACTCATAAATAAAAACAAAGCCTCTGACCATGTTCCTGAATGTAGAAGTCTCGAGAGCAGGGGTCACCAACCTTTTTTAGGATGAGGGCTACTTTCAAAAAATAAAGCAAGTCGGGGGCTACTTTTACTCCTCTTTTTTTTGTTTTTTGCAGTGTATATATTTTATATTTATATATTATATTCTTACCTTTAACCTTTGTGTGCTGTTTGGGTCTGTGGGACCCGTTTTCAGTGTTTACTAAAAGAAAATGTATGCAATTTAATAATTTTAACCTGCTTTATTTGGGGGTGGACCTCACATCCTCTAGGGGGGGCCTCACATCCTCCAGGGGGGATCTCACATCTTCTAGGGGGGTCCTCACCTCCTCTAAAAGATTTTTTTTAAATGTTGAAGTGAAATGCACCAATCTGCTGCACTTTGAGTACAAAATGAATTTATGGATACAGATATCAACACTCATATGAAAGGGAGCTGTATACTTTTCAATACTCCAATCATCTTTAGAATATTATCACAACCAATAACAAATCATTTAAACTGGTTTATTCTTATCTTATGTTACCTAATTAGCATTCTTTCTTTTTATTTATGCATATTTTACTAATCACTCCCCTTTTAAACTGTTTTTTTTACTGTCCTATAGTACACACTGGAATAGGAATTCTTACTTTATCTATATTAAATAGATTAAAAGTAGTGCTCTCCCTAGCTCTCTCGCTCGCTCTCTCTCTCTCTCTCTCTCTCTCCCCTCTCTCCCTAAGCTCTCTTGCTCGCTCACAGAGGCTGTGTGCTCCTCCTTGGCGATGACGGGTTGCGTTAAAAAATAATAATAAACATACTCGAGTACGCTCAGAGGTGTTCCACTCCGGTCTAAACTTCGACAACCTATCTACTCTACCCCGTCTGAGAGTCTTTACCTACCCTACGAAAGACAGAAACTCCGTTAGTTACCATTTCGATTCTTTAACCTGCCAAGGTGGAAAGTAAAAAGTCTTTTTCTTGAACGGAAAGCACTTCTCCTCCTCGCTTCTGCAAAACACCTAACTGACGACTTCCTGTCCAGTCCTTCCTATCCGGTCGTCTTTTTGTATTGGGTAAGGCATTGCTGACACAAAAGAGTGAAAACGTACCTGGGTCTAGTATTCACTGACCCGTTGACCAAAAGGTTTTGTTGTTCGTTATAAACCAAATTCTAAACGACGGTATGAATTTTAACCCCTTCAAACGTCAACTGTCACAGTACCGAAGACACAAACAGTCGGTGAACTCCCCTCTTTAATGAGTTGTCCTAGAGTGTCCTTAAGTCAAACTCTCACTCTATTTCCGTAGAGTTATTTTATAAAGACGGTTGAAAAAGGGGGGACTAACATCGAGAGAAACTAAGAAATGACTTACGTTATAAATGTTCTACCTTGAGGTCTCGTAAAAACCTCTTGCCAAAACGTAAAACGGGAGTCTTAAAGAACTGCGAGGGTCAATGGCATCGACCACCCAACTTCCTGAAGTAAAATCAATTCAACTTTGAATAAGTTCTCGATAAATTCTAGATGTACAGCGTTTCTGCTCCAACCTTGTCCGGAGACGTTACAATAGCTAACTTTCGGTTCGACCCGAGACAGTGAAACTAAAGTTTTCTCGAGCAATTTTCTAAAACGGTGGTTTCTTCCAGGCCGCTACCGCAAGCCTAAATCCTTATTTTTAGGTCAGATACTGTCTACAACCCTACAAAGGGATATTCATTCGACTGTCCGATGTCGGGTGTAAACAACTTTGTTAATGATAGACTAAGTATCGAGGAGAGCCGGTTGAATGTAAAAAAAGTAACAAACGGACCATTCACAAAGTACAGGGACTCCAAATAACAAATAAATTTAATACAAGTTTTGAAAGTCAAATTAAAAATAATATGAAAAAACAGGAACAAACAACAAGTTTAAGAATTAATTATTCAGTTTCTTACAACTCTAACAAAACAAAACAAGTAAGGACATAACCCACATTTAAAAGTTAAAATTTATCTTGGTCTTCTATTTCAACTATCAGTCCGTCAACTTAAAAGAACGGTCAGGTAAAATTTGTTCAAGTAATTGAAGTTGTCCCAAAAGCTCCAAACCCAAAGTAGCACAGCAAAACCCCACCTGCGTTTCCAAGACTGCGGTGGTCATAGGTTCGTTTTCTAGGACTAAACAGCGGGTTGGTTAATTGAGTTGGTTGAACAGGTGAGCGCCGAAGGAGCTTAATGACGCGCCATTGTCCATCCCGAAACGTGAGACTGACTCCTTTTTTCCGTCGGTTGGGCCGGCGAATGTTCGTTTTTTCGAATCAACGAGACGGGCGCTGGTCAAAAGTTTAGACGAAGCATCTTTTCCATATACGGTTCGTCCCTTTGCTAACTATATGATGTCTCGTGTAAGGTTTACATTCAACCAGACAGTTTGGATTTCACACGAACTCCATCCTTGATAAACAACAAACCTTAACCTAAATGGTCTCTCCTTGTCCCGGTTCATGTCGAAAACCATACCAAACTCATAGTCTTGTAACAGTGTTCCTTATCCCCTTTTATACGGATCGATCACGTTTGAGTTCCAACAAACAATCCTGATAACGGTAACCAGGTAAGCTAACTTCTACTGCGTTACGCTGGTAGGACTTGACCCACGACTTAACGACTAGGCTTACATATCCATTTTTTGGTATAATAACACAAAGTAAGTTTATTTATTTTACCGGTGTAAAAAAAATCGCACGCGCGATTACGCCCGTTGAGCGTACCTAAACCCCCGGGTATGTTACTTCTAAGAAAGTACCCCCGGGGTCTTAAAAAGGTCGTGCGGGACGGGTGTACATGACACGTTGAGTTTGAAACAACCTACGCATCGTTTCCTTTATTTTCTTTTGTCTTTTTCCGACTCAGGATGAAGGGTTTCCGTGAAAAAAAGTTAAATGTACCAAGTACATAGACTAAAAAGAACGTTCGTGAACCATTACTGATGAAATGTGTAGTTCAAAAAAAACCCAGATGAATTACGAATCCTTCACTCTGTCTTTTTGTTGAGTTGACGAAGAAGGAAGATTCTCGTCCCCCCAAAATACGGTGTGCCACGGGCGCCCGTGAGTCAGACCGAGCGTCCAAAAAACATTGCACTCAGCAAGCGGCACCCTACAGATTTTACGAGGCGGTTCGTTTAGGGTTTTGTTTTTATTTCCTTTACATTAAAAATTATTAGATGAGATACGGTATTTGTTTTTGGATTTAGTATCGCTTGAGATAGATGAATGAATTGTTGAAGATTATAGATGAGATTGGTGGGGAGGAAGGGGGTGGGCGTGTTTACTTATAGCTGGTTAGTTGCAAAGAACGAACTAAACGACCCTGGGTGCAACCAGCCCTTCTTTTCGTTACACCGTTGGAGGGGCGACTAAAAAAGGAAGAACCGTCTTAGAATGTGTTGTATAGTCGGGGAACTTTTGTCCGGATAAGTACGGTCCGGATATGTTGTGTACTTCCCCTCGTCTCAAAAATGAGCACACAACACAACTTTGAACGTATAAATAAAGGTGAACTTGCGTGTTGTGTGCGTACCGCATTTTAAGAGGTGAACGCCCTGTCCCCCTGTACAGGAGGCGTGAAAGCTTTGAGGGCAAACACAGGGAGGGTGA